AAAGCCTGCTGTATGTGTAACTGGTGTTCTCACTGGTTGTGGGGGGAGAAAGGAGGAATACAAGCCAAAATTTTTTCTAAATTTGATGAAAATTATGAAGTAATGTATCAAAAAAAGTACAAGGAACATGAACAATGCAAGTTATATGTTTAATCCAGTGGTAGAAAAAATCTTCAAAGGAGCAAGAAGCAGGAAAACGTTCTGTGCAGACATGTGACACAGATTTCTCACCAGCAACGCTGCAAGACAGACAGCAGTACAGTGGCTTCTCTCCTGCAGCATAGGAAGCCAACCTTGTGAGGCCAAGGGTGCAGCTTAGCAGTGATAAGATTATATCCAAAAGATGAGAAGTATAAAACAAAAGAGGCCTTTATTCTGAGAACGAGGAGAGAGAAAACTAAAACAGCCCCGACCGCTGGAGTCCGGCTTTCTCTCTGGCGTACACGTGGCGTGGGGGGTATATAAGCAGCCTCGGTTTGGGGTGGAACCTAAGGGGTGTCAGGGATACACAGGTAGCCCATTGGTCTTTGGCGCCATAGGTAAATTCCTAGGGGCGGGGAAGATGGAGTCACAGGTAAATTCCTAGGGGTGGGGGAGATAGGAGCTCCTTGGTTCCGCCTCTAAGGCTTCACTGGCTACAGTGTCCTGTCTGGGCCAAAACTCTTTCAAGCGGCACAGTGCCTACCTGGCAAGCCTAAGTTCCTCAGTTCCATTCCCAGGACCCACCAAAAGACCCGAAAAGTCAGTCCTGTCAACCCGCAACTTTATGCTAAGATCTTTCACAAACACAAAAGCTAAATTCATCACCAAAAACACTACAAAAGAGGTTAATAGAAAAATTTTAATCTAAAGGAGAAATGGCATCATAAGAATTTTATATTCCCTTGAAAAGGGGAAACATTTTTGAAACAAAGAAACCAGAAATGTGTAACTGCATGCAAATGTATATGTATGTCTATGTGTATACATATAAATGCATATGCATATGAATATGTATTTCTTTCTTTTCCTAATGGTTCTGAGCCCAGTGTCTTCACACTGAACTTTACCTGAGGCCTGTCTTTGAAACAGAATTGAGCTCTAATGTGTGATTCTCCTGCCTCACCCTCCCACAGTACTGGGATTACAGGCAGGTGACATCATACCCAGAGTATTTTCTTGTTATTTTAATCTCTGTAAAAGGTAACAGTTAAAATAATAATGTACCTGTAGAGCTAATACTGTGTCATTTTACAAGTTGGGGTCATTCTAAGCCTTTGCTATTAGTAATATAGTATCACTTGGAAGCCAGGATATGGTAAATTAAAGATGTATCCTACAACCCTAACATAATCACTAAAATAGTAGAATTGTAGCTAAGAAGTCAACAAAGAAGATAAAATGGAATTATAACAAGTACTAGAACTAAACAAAAGCAAAAACATTAACTAGAATTAACAATAGAAATCAAAAGAAAGCAGAGAGCAAGATGATGGACTTCGACTATCAGTAATCACAATGAGTGAAGACCTTCTAACCATCTCCAGGAGAGGCAGGCTGTGAAGCAGAACAAAACTCAAGACCCAATCATAGTATGTGCCTGCCCTTCTAAAAGAAAAGGGCAGGTTAAACATAAAAGAGGATGGTTTTAGCTCAAAGATTGAGAGAAACCCTTCCATTCTACAAGATGAAAGTCTTGCTAAACTCATTATGCAGACAGGCCTGAAGAAAAGACCCAGACCCTTCCATCTGCCTTTTTGAGACAAACAACTCCAAATGTACGAAAGACACATTTGGAAAAATGAACAAATTGCTAAACACCAAGTGCCAGTCCATGAATGTAAGGGTCTCAGGTTTCAGCTTTCACCACAGCACACGCCTGTAATCCCAGCTCCCTGGGAAGCAGAGGTGGTTGATCTTAAGATCAGGCCCACCTGGGGAACTTGGCTGTTTAGCTGCTTAGTGAGACCTTGTCTCAGAACAAAATAAAAATAAAAACAGGCTGAGAAAGTAGGTCAGTGAGAAGGCTTGGATTCAGGGCTCAGCACTACAAAGAATGTTCTGACCCTGAGGCAAGCCTTTCCTCCAGGAACCTCACTGTGTGCTCATACAGGAAACCAGAAGGAACTCCATTGTGCTGGCTGGAGGAGAAGAGCTGCTGCTGAAGACCCAGGCTGAGCCACAGCAGGCAGGGCTCCTCTGAGGAACCACAGCAGGGAGAACCCTGGCTGCTTGCAGCTGGGGATGGAAGGAACTAGTGTGTCTCATCCTTGAAGGCAAAGGCTGCAGCCCAGGCCCCTCCCTCTGTGGCTGCATGCAGTGGCAGGAGGGTGAGGTGTTGCTATCACAGGGCAAGTGTCCTGTGAGGACAGACAGACACGCAAAGGTGACTTTCTGAGGCCAGCACAGTAGCTCAACAGGTCAAGGGCACTTGGACCTTCCCTGCCTCAGACTGAGAACTCAAGTTACTGCTGTCACCTCCACATCCCACAGGATCTGTGACAGCATTCCTAGGAGGCTGATATAATCACCTAAAGCAAATCTGGAGCAGGGATGAGAGGGCCAACAGCAGCCCTGATTGCACGGGTGTGATGAGAGTGATAACGGAATATTAAAATGGACCCCAACTCAGAGCTTAGATGACTAAAATAACACAAATGCCGAAGAAAGACAGCCTAAGTAACACTTATTATAGTTTAAATCTTCTTTCAGGTTCATAGGGCTTTACTGGTAAATTCTAAGGGATATTTAAGGAAAAAACACAAAGCTTACATAATTTTTTTTCCCCTAGAAAACAAAAAAGAAACTTTCTAACTCATTCTGTGAAGCTAGCATCACATTAGTAACAAAGTAAGGCAAAAACATTACAAATATCCCAGTGATGTATTAAAACACTAAACAGGCTGGGGATTTAGTTCAGTGGCACAAGCATCTGCCTGGCAAGCACCAGGTTGTGAGTTCAATCCCCAGTACCCAAAAAAAAAAAAAAAAAAAAAAAAAACGCTAAACAAAATGTTAGCAAACCTATATGCTGAATGAATAATACATTACTGACTAAGAGTTCCTGCACCAAAACTGACTTCACATTCAAAGCCTAAAGTCGTGTACATAGGCATTCGTTTCCCAGGTGGCAGCAAGGAGAATAAATGTGCTGGACCAGTGAGACTGTTGTCACTGCTTGGAGGTGGTCAGTGCCACATTTTTCCTGGCACAGGAATCTCCTGGGCTCCTCTCCTGGCTGTGGGAGCCTCGGCATTCTCTGGCTCATGGACAGCTGCCTTTCTCTGTGCTCCTCACACGGGGTTCTCCCCAGTGCACGTCTGTGTTCAGTGTTCTTTGCAGCACTGGAAACTAAGCTCAGGTGCACTCTTCCACTGCGCTGCATTCCCAGCCCTTTTTTAGTTTAAGGCCAAGCTGGCCTTAGACTCCTCCTGCCTCAGCCTCTGGAATGGCTGGGATTACAGGCTGGCAACTTTTTACAAGGATGCCGTCATACTGGATTAGGTCTCACCCTGACTGGCATGCTTTTCACTGATTACCTTTACAGGTCCCCTGCATGGAAATGCATTTGCATGAGTGGGCATGGTGGCACCTGCCTGGATAGGAGCTGAGAAGGAAGCCAAGTCCCGGGGCAGCCTGGGTAACTCGGGGAGACCCTGTTTAATAATAATGAGAGTGAACATGTAGCTCAGCTCACAAGAGTGTTTGTCTTGCAGGGAAGCAGGAACACCTAGGTTTGATCCCCAGACCTTTGTTTGATTCCCACTATTAGAAAAAAGAAAAAGATACTATTCATTCATAGGTTCTACACTGGGACTTCAAATACCTTTGCAAGGGGAGCACATGTACAATTTAAAAAAGGAAAAAGAAAAGCTAGATGGGTACTTCAATAGCTTCACAAAGGCACTGATGAAATCCAATGCCCACTCCTGACAAAATCGCTCAGTGACTTAAAAATAAAGGGTAACTGGTCTTCTGCTTGAGTGTATATGAAAACCTCCAGCTTGGGCTTGAGCAGTGGTACTGTGTGTGCTTGGCACACCCATGACCCTGGGTTCAAGTGCAAAAGACAAGTCCTCAGCTAAAATGCCTAAGATTCAAAGCAGAGACTGTTTTTCATCTAAGATCAGAAGCTGAGCGGACATTTTCAGTTACCATCACATAGGAGCTTGTAGCCAGTGCAAAATGGCATGAAAAAGGAACAAAAAAGTATCCTGTGCAGGAAGGAAGTGAAACTGTCTATTCCCAGATCTAAATTCTGTGGTGCAGAAAATTTGGTGCACTCTACCAACAAAACTACAAATGTTCAAAAACGGTTTTTACAAAATGCATACACATAATTTTAAAATTATTTTATATATTAAGCAAAGACCTGTAAAACTTTTAAGTGTTCACTTACATAGCATCAAAAAGTTTCCCTTGCAAATCTCTTGTCTTTGGGATAAATCTGACAAGGATGGAACTGACAAAAGAGCAAATCTGTGTTAACAGAAATACCTAAATGAATGGAAAGTCTTACATGGCCCAATAGTCCAATGATTCCTCATTGTTACTAAGTAGATCATGAGTTTGAGGCCAGCCCCGGCTGCATGTGAGGTTTTGCCTCAAGTCAAAAAGCTTTGGGAAAAAAAAAAACAGACTAAAGTCAAACACAATCTGATTTCAAAGCTCATCCCAAGTCCACAGGAAACGAGACGATAAACAGACCACGGAAACAGAATAAACTCCAATGACAAGACAACAGCTTTTAACCATGGAGGTGCACATGGGGTGAAGCTATTCTATGGGAGGAGGAAAGCCTTTTGAGCAAATGCTAGCACGCACTGGGATAAAAACGAAACCCTAGATCCACACTGCGCACATTAAAAAACACAAGCTCCGGGGACCACACGTCTCAGTCCCCAGGTACTCGGGAAGCAACCAGGCCCCGCCCCTCCGCGCAGCCCCGCCCCCGACCCCGCCCGAGGCAGCGGCACCCTTGCCGGAAGAGCGGCAGGCCCTGCACGGTGGGGTGGCTCGCGGCGGGCGCAGCCGCGCCAGCCGGGAGCGCTCGCTGCAGCCCAGCGGCACGTTCGACCCCACCCTGCCCCGCCCGCAGCCCTCGCCAGGCCCAGCCGCCGCGCCCCCGAGCCCTGCGCAGCGCGCCCGTCAGCCCGTAAGTGGCAGCCGCTGCCTCCGCGCCCGGGGGACGCGCGCTCCTCCGAGATTCAGCCCGAACCCGCCCATTCGCCCGCCGGGGCTTTCAGCTCGGAACCCCTCGGCCCCGCGCCAGCCCGGTCAGGGGCTGCGCAGAGAGCAGCCGGGCGGTGAGCCGAGAGGAGGCGGCCGGCACGCCTCGCCAGCCGCTCCACGCTGGCTGGCGGGCAGCGGAGGGGAGGACGGGAGGAGGAGGCGGCGCGAGTCCGCGGCCAGGCAGGCAGGCGGCAGGCCTGGAGACACCCAGCGGGCTGGCGGCGGGACGCGCCCTGCTTCCCGCGGGGGCGGGGCTCCCCGGAGGCGGGGCTCCAGGGGGCCATCGTGGGGGCGTGGTTCCGGCGCGAGCTGTGTGGCGGGAATTCCTGGGGTAAGATTGCTGGGTCCTGAAGATTTTGGTTTTTTGGCCGGTCATTTTGGTAAAGAGAACAAAGTAGAGCAAAATGATTTTGTTTTGGCCTCAAATAGTCAATAGGAAAAGAGGAATGAGAACTTAGAGTATTCCTTTCTCAAAATAAGTGCCCTGAGTCTGTGAGTGCCTGGCAAGTTTGTAGGGTCAGCGGACTGCTTAGAAAAGTATCAATATCGAGGGGAACACTGTTTTCTTTTTTCTTTTTTCTTTTTTTTTTATCGGTACCAGGGATCGAGTTCACGACTACGCACTTGCCAAGCAGGCGCTTATACCGCTGAGCTAAATTCCCAGCTTTTTTTTTTTTTTAAATTATGTTTTTTTTTTTTTTTTTTTTTTTTTTGCGGTACCCGGGATAGAACTTAGGACTTTGTACTTGCCAGGCAGGCGCTTATGCCACTGAGCTAAATTCCTGCCCCAGAACGCTGTTTTCAAACGCGATGGCGCACATGACCTTAAATATTGGTCTAACTGGGCGCAACTCATTTGAACTTTAAATCCGCAGCTGCCCTCTTCCTGCCCTATGTGAAGTTGCTTTTCTAATTGCTAATTTGTGACACCGAGTTCAATTTGCATTAATACAATCTTAGAGATTATCTCATGAAGCCCCAGTTTGGTTTTGTTGTTTTGATCTGTCTTCTTTTTTTGAGCATAGACCACATCTTCTTGTTCCTTCCCGAGTGCCTTATGTTAATGCTTCCTAAGGTTAATGCTTTCCATTGGGCCGAATTTATGATACCTACCCAAAACTAAATGACTTAGTGTGTTGGCCATTATTTACTTTCACTCATTGTCTTGGGTAAGCATTTATTCATTTCTTTTTTTTGTCGTTTTGAGACAGGGTCTCACTATGTAGTTCAAACTGGCCTTGAGCTCACTTTGTAACACAGGCTGGTCTCAAACTCGCAGCTGTCCTGTTTCAGCCTGCAGAGTGCTGGGATTACAGGCGCACACTCAGCTCCATTTATTCATCTCTTAATCTCACACTGGCCTCCAAGGATTCTTGGCCTGTGTTGTCTTTATATTCATTGAGCCTAGTACAGTAAAGTTGTATAAATGAAATACATGGAGTTAAATACCTTGTTCTGTTTCCAGTCTGGCAGGTTTCTTATTTGGACAGTTTATTTGTAACTGCCCCATCCAGTTACAATTGCACCTCATGTACAGTTAACCCTTCTCTCCTTTGGGCCTCTGCTCATATTGCTACTTCTGGTAGAGCAGTTTCATTGATTGTTTTTGGATCTCTGAAGACACAGAGCTTTGTTCGTTGTGCTTTTTAGTTTTCTGCATAGTGTTTTGTACATGATAGATACTAGGAAAGAGACACGGAATTGGACTTACGCATGTGTGCTTTATGAACCAATGGTACATATGTGAAAATAGAAGGGTTAAATCCTTTTAATCTACAAATAAAACTTACAAAGAAGGTTGCAGAGGAACGAGATAGGTGAAACATGGTATGTTTTGTATTTATTGACAGTCATTTTTATTGAAGACTTAATATTCCTTTCCTTTCTACAATTTGTCCAATTTTTTTATACCTTTGACAGTTGTTTTTGCTGAAGCTTGTTAATTTTCCTAGATTAGGAAGAGAAAGTAGAAAACAAATTCACCCCCAAATATACATTTTTAAACCTAACCATTAATGAGTTGTTAGAACTATCTGTGGTTAATAGTATGTGTTCTTTTTATGTAGCAGAATACACATAAATGTATGTGTGTTTAATTAAAGAAACAAGAGGAGAGTAGTATGCTCTTGTGTGAATGAGAACTAGAACTAGGGCCCTTGCAAAGAACTCCACTGGGAGTGACTTCAGCCAAAAGACACATGTAGAACGAATGTGTGTCTGTGAAATGTGGTCATAGAAAAAGTTGGGACCTTTGCATATACTACATCAATTATATTAACATAAGGTTAATGAGGATAAAGGTTGTGCAAAGATATGAGAAACATATTTTGAATTTTGATAATCAGTGAATTGAATTTAACATCACTCTTTTTTAAAGTACACGTATTATTTACTATACCAGATAATTCAGATCTAATTTTAAGGTTGGAATTCAGATTATAATATGATTATAGTGTGTCCCAAAGACAATTGATTTTATTTTATTTTGGTACTGGGGATCGAATTCATGACCTCATGCTTGCCAGGCAGGCAAGACAGTATGATTTATAACCAAACAATCATGTGTGGTCTTGAATATCAAAGGTGTAATGTCCAGGGCTGGGGATTTAGCTCAGCAGCATAAGTGCCTGCCTGGCAAGCGCGAGGTTGTGAGTTTGATCCCTGGTATCAGAAAAAAGCAAAAAAAAAAAAAAAAAAAAAAAAAGTGTAATGTCATCCTTCCTTTTTCTTCAGATTCAAAATGAATACCGATCAAGTGGCACTGGTGGGCCAAGTATTTGAGTCCTATGTTTCGGAGTACCATAAGAGCGACATCATTCTCATTTTGAAGGAAGACGACGAGGATGCTCACTACCCAGTGGTGGTTAATGCCATGACCCTTTTTGAAACCAACATGGAAGTAGGGGAGTACTTCACCGTGTTCCCCAATGAAGTACTGACTGTGTTCGATAGTGCCCTGCGAAGGTCAGCCCTGACAGTTTTCCAGTCCCTGTCTCAGCACGAGGCTGTTTCCATGAAGCACAATCTTCATGTCAGGATATCAGGTAAGTCACGTAAGTTGGAGTTACTGCCATGGAATTTTCTGTGAGATCTGAAGGAAGTATGGTACAAATGAGATTCAGAGCGCTCAGAAATGATTGATGTTATACTAAAAATATATGTCTGTGTTTTATAGACATGGGTAGCTGGTATCACCACTTCTTCCCGGGGTACTGATTATCTTCTCTGGGTATCAGATATTAGCCATGCAAATGAAGGGAGGGAGAAGAGGGGAGACAGCACAGCACCCATGCTTCTGTGTGTGTAAAACTGTAACCCAGTGTGGCTCTGGGAGCTTTTGTGACTGCTGAAAAGAGGTGGCGATACCAGAATCACAACAGTGGTAGACCTGAAACCATTTTAGGAAATGAATCAATTTTATATGTTGGTTGTTTTTAGTATAAGGTTTTGTTTCTTCTGGAATAAGTTTTCTCCCCAAAAGCCTCCTCTTCTGGTGAGGAGCAGTTTGTTGTTTTCCAGCATGATGCTCTCTATGGCAAGGGAGCTTGGGCACAGGTTAATCTGATCTTGAGTTCTGTAAATGCAGGCACCTCTTGGGTGCACTCTTCCTGGGTGTGTCTAGTGACTAAAAAAGCCTTTCTGGAATCCTTTCTGTTTCACATAGTTTCCATTTTATGAAAAGAAAAAGACCCTCTTTGAACTCTTGGTCCCCTTTTCCTCCACTTGCTCTTCTCTGGGCAGCTGGAGTTTTGGCGAAGCGCAGTACATTCCTTCTTCAACACACCCAGCTCCCCTTTACCTTCAGTCCACCCCATTGAAAAGCCCTCAGCAGCGTCACCATGATGGCTTCATGGATACGAGGAGGATATTTTTCAGTCTTTCTCTCTTCCGTTGTTACTCTGCAGACTTAAGATACCTTGACGCCTCTGGTTTTGTGGATTCCAGCCTTGGTCCACTGCCTACACTCTTCTCTTCCTCACTTTCCTGCTGAAGCTTCTCTAGCTCCACTGTGTGTACCATTTCCCTTAACTGTGTGTTTACCAGTGTCCTTAGGGTTCTGACCTGGCTGCCTCCTAGGTCCTGTGTCCTCTTCCTGATGTACAGCAACAAGTAGCTTTTTCTTTTTTGACCAGAGCTTGTCTCCTGATCTCTTACCAGGATATCCTGTTGTTGAGATGTGTGTGACAATTAGGTAAGATTCTGTTGATACATATGATGTTATTTCATTGAAAATCCCAGGACTGTACTAATTTATATTGAGGAGTCCAGTTTTCTGGCCATGCCGCATTTATGCATGGCATCCGAATGACATGCAGCACATTCCAACATTTAAGGTTTCATGGCCACAATATTCGTTAAGTTTTAATATGTTGACACTATGATTTAAACTTAATGATCAAGTGGCATGTGAAACAGAACTGGGAGATAAAAATGGGAAGCAGAAGTGGGATGCAGAAATGGTACTTCTTTAGGCCAGTGAATATTTTTTAAATCCAAAAAAATTGTTATTTAAATAAACTGGCTTAACCCATATTATTTTTCCTGTTTACTTTCCTCGTCTTTCTTAGAAGTAATTGTTGGTAGATTTCTGTTTATTCTTCAAAATGCAAATTGGGTTAATAATCATATTTCCCACATGAGTAGCTGTTTGTATATATACATTAGAGAACCATTAATTGTTTATAAACAAAAAAATTTTAAGTTATTTTAATCACTTTAATTTACCTCTTAGGTTTATGCTCAAGATAATTGGAAACAAATGCTTAAACAAACATTTGCACAAAAATGTTTCTAGAAGCATTATTTATAATAGTCCCCAAATGAAAACAATCCAAATTGTGTCTCATCTGATGAGCAGGTAAAATGTGGTCTATACATACCATAGAATGTTACCCAGCCATATGTAGGCGTGACGTAGTAATATGATTCCATTTATAAGAAATGGCCAAAAAGATGAGTCCATGACATCAGAAATTAGATTTGTCGTTGCTAGCAGCTAGGGGTAGGAATGGATGGGGGAAGACTGCTACAGGTACTGATTTTACTTTTGATATTCTAATAAGTATTACCCAAGAATTTGGAAATAAGAGAAATGTTTGTTTTCTGAGTGTTAAATTGCACAAAGCACAGCAGAAATGCACAAAATCATCCTATGCAAAAGCATAGATCTCTTAGGGGCAAAATGTGAGACAGTTAGAGTTGGTGTAAATAAAGAAAACTGAAAACAGGCAAGTCAGCCTTGGAAGCTCAGAAAAAGGAACCACAGAGACATGTGTGGGCAGTGCCCACTTTGTACAGTGTGTGGAGACTGTCTCACACTCAGAATAGTAACATCTGTAGCCCATGACCTGTCACACCAGGTTAATAGCCCTTTTGCACCCGCGCATGCACACATACACACCCCCAGAGTACCTCTGGATAACTACTGCTGTTACTCTTACTGTGATCCTTAGGCTTTTAGAGTGGATGTATTTGCGGCTGGTCACAGAAACCTAAGATGTCAGGGGTCTACTGTGGTGGCTTCTCCTGAGTACGGAGGGTCTGACAGATGGATCTCAGTGTGCCCACTTAGTGGGTGAACCCCACGCCACGGACTAGCATAGCAAAAGCTTCCCTGGCAAAGGCTGCGGAGGCAGTTGTGGGCCATCACAGCCAGCAGCTCCCCATGGAGGAGGAACAGCGAATTTCTGCTTACATAAGACTTGGCTTTGGCATTTTGTGCTCTCAGTTGCCTGTTTTCTTGATGTTGAAAATCACAGGGTTTCAAGGCTTATGTGATGTTGTGAGTGTATTTCCAAGTAGTGAACTGTGAGCCGGAGGAGAGCAGTAACCTAGCACTATGGAGTCTTTGATCATAGCACTACCGTCTCTCTGTCTCTCTGCTTTGTCATTGGCTCAAAGAATATCAGTTGATTTTCCATGTAGCAAGAGGCAGTACCTTCTCTGTAAGATGGGATTATAATGACATACCTAGTGTGACATACCTTAGATCCTACTGTGATATCTGTCTTATGAGAATCAATTCTTTTTAAGTTCTGATTATAATATCTGTTTTTAACAGAGTTTGTTGATAACTCTTATTTGAAATCTCTTCTGTTTCTTGAGTATATAATATGATTTTTTTTCTTGAGACAAAAAGATTTATTTCTCTGCAGTTGTAATTTCTTCCCAGGAAATATTAGAAGAGTGTCTTCCATGTAGGCAGGTGTCTTGCAGTAAGTGGGTGCTGTTGTTTTTCCACCAGGTTTGCCAGTCTGTCCGGAGCTGGTGAGGGAGCACATTCCTAAGACCAAGGACGTGGGACACTTTTTATCTGTCACTGGGACAGTGATTCGCACGAGTCTGGTGAAGGTGCTGGAATTTGAACGGGATTATATGTGCAACAAGTGCAAGCACACATTCGTGGTCAAGGCTGATTTTGAGCAGTATTATACCTTCTGCCGGCCGTCCTCGTGCCCCAGCTTGGAGAGCTGTGATTCCTCGAAATTCACTTGCCTCTCAGACTTGTCTTCAAATCCAGCCAGATGTAGAGATTACCAGGAAATCAAAATTCAAGAACAGGTAAATGATGAAATAAGTGAGAAAAGAAACAAATTTGAAGTGGTTTTCTCCCATGATCAGATTTCTAGGATTAGCGCACATCAGATGCATACAAATGGACTCGTATCATCACTCTGCAGATCAGTCTTGGTACTGCTGTCCTTGTATCAGAGTATAGTTTTTGGAAGCAATGACATTATCATCTTAGAGCACTGACAGAAAGATTGTGAAATGCCTTGTATGTTAAAATTCAAGTGGATATTTAAGAATTCTGAAATAGTTGTGGTTAACTAAGGGAGGGGAGAGTAAAATGGTTTCATTGTTAAGCCCATAGTTATGAGGTTGTTAAACACTGGGATAAGTATGATTTAGGTTTTGGTTCAGTTTCATATGCTGTGCCTAATGAAGTATACATTAACACTCTTTATGAAGTTACATTCTTGGGAGGCTGAGGCAGGAGGATCACCGAGTGTTGGAGATCTGAGTGACTTCAAGACCAACCTGAACTACATAGCAAAACTGTGTCTCAAAAACAAAAATTACAGTGATCCTCATTGTCCTTTACTTAAAAAGCTTTGTTCTGTCATCTAAAATAGTAGGAGATAAGCTGCGAAAGTCTAGGACATAGTGGGGCTGGGGATTTAGCTCATCAGCACAGGCACCTGCTTGGTAAGCGCAAGGTTGTGAGTTCAATACCCGGTACCCTCCCCCAGAAAAGACTAAGATATAGTGTCAGGTCCAAGGACTCAGATTTGACGCAATTTGTGGTTTCTGTAAGTGTGGTTTCAGAGGTCCAGGGTAGTGGCTACAACTCTGTGACATCTGTATTTCTGTGAGAGGACAGGAGGGAGAAGGGCATGTACTTGCATCTCGCCAAGTCTCCATGTAAACCATATCTGTGGCAGTCCTCCAGCACATGCCTGCCTAGGCCTCTGGGCCAGAACTTGGTTATGTGACCACACCTGGGTCCAGGTGAACATCTACAAAGCACGTAGTTCCTGAGCATATCTTTAAGCATGTTCAGTGTCTGCTTTCTTTTCCTTACTAGGTTCAAAAGCTGTCTGTTGGAAGTATCCCACGATCTATGAAGATCATCCTAGAAGACGACTTAGTAGACAGCTGCAAATCTGGTAGGAATGAACTTTGTTTTCTGACCGAAGATCGTCCTAAGTTGTGTAGACTGGTCTCAAATTGTGGTGCAAGTGGTCCTCTTGCCTTAGCCTCTTGAGTAACTGGGGTCACAGGGGTGAGTTCCACCAGGCCCAGCAAGAATGAACACGTGTTAGCTTATGTGGAGGTAGACATAGGATTAGGAAAAGCTGCTTGTGATTTTCCCAGAGGTCTCTGGCAGGGAAATATAGAGTATAATTGCTCCCCTGATGCCGATCAGCAGGTGATGAGAGGAAAGTGGGCTGCAGCTGAGATCCAGACAAGGCATTGACGGCCTGGGGCCACCTTGAGTTAAGTGATGGTGCTGGAGCAGGAGTCCATAGCCACAGCCTAGGCTTGCAGGTTTCTCTTCACTGCTCTGCAGCATAGTGGAAGCAACTGTGACACAGTCTAGTGGTGCAGTGGACAGTCACACCCAAGGCAATGCAGGTCATACTCGGTCAGGTGCTCTCAAGAGCTTTGCCATGCCCAGAGGAAAGGTGGTGACTATCCTGAGCTCTGTGCTATGACTCTAGTACAGGCTGGGAGGCAGTAGTGATAGAGGTTTCCATGTAGTTCTTCCAGACTGAACTGTTCTGCACTAGAAAGAATTATAAGCTGTTTTTCTTTCAAATGTCATTAATAATAAAGGATGAATGGGAAGTAGTTGATGACGGCAATTTTTCATTTACCCATAGCTATTAACCTATGGGACTCAAGAAATGTGAATAGCATAATTTTTGCCCTTTAGGAAGTTTCTTTAGGTAGAAACCCCAGTTTGAAGTATGCGGAGTCCTGCACCCTCCTGTCCACACAGCAGGAGAGCAGAGATGAGTCTGACTGGGTGGGGTGGCTGCAGTTGGAAAGATACCATGAATGACAGAGGCCATGAGGAGACTGCGTTGTTTAAAAATAAGAATTTTAGCTTCTTGAAAAAGAATAATTAAGTACAGGCATGGCCTATCCATGGTCATATTAACCTGCCATTCCATAAGCATTTGAGTAAATGAAAAACCTCATGTATTCAAAGGGTTTTTAAGGTATTACTGTCTCTGTAAATATAAGTGGGCTTGGTATAGTGATAGCTATTGCTTCCTGAGGACTTCTCTGTTCTTGATGTTGCAGCCAGCAGTTGACAGGCATTATTTGTCCTGATTCTCACTGTAGTCCTGTGATGTAAGTGTACTCTTTTTGTAGGTTAGGGAAGTTAGATGACTTGTCCAGTGTCACACAGCCAATGAAAGGTGGAGGCAGGTGTAAGTCACATCTGATGAGAGTCATTCATGGTGACACAGGCTTCACCATTCACTACTTATTGAGCTTGGATTATTATTGAAAGGTGTTAGATCTGGAGTTAAGTTCCCTACTTAGCTGACATAGAAACAGTCTAAACATAATCCATGAAAGTGACCACGGCAGAACAATCTTGGAGACATGTTGCACACCTTGTTAGTGTTTCTGTCCCCATTAATGGGAAGCAGCCTTTAACTGGAAACATGCACTTAGCATCACGAATACTGTGCTTCAGGAACCCACAGCTCTGCAGGTACACATTGTGCGTTAACATTTAGAGGGACAAGCATTTGCTCCAACAAGCGACATACAGTTAGTGTGGACATGAAAGAATTTGGAAATTTACTAGGTTAGGTTTGTTGTGTTTGGCTCCTTTTCTCTGAGCCAAGCATTCACAGACACTTGTTCGCTGGTACCTGGCACACGGTGTGAAAACAAGCATAAAAGTCTGTGTTCAGTGAATGCCTGTAAACTGCCCAGAGCCATGTAGAAAATCTAGCAGGCAGCCAGCCTGAAACAGGAGATTTTCCTCAAGTGGGAAGAACCCACCAAGCAGGAGCATGCTGAGGTAGTGTTCTGGGCTTTCATGGTTTGAAGTAGAACAGATATTCACTGATTGCTTAGTTCATTCTTTCCTGGGTTCCTTTAAAAGCAGAGGTACTGAGTAAAATGTTAACAAATGTGGAAGATGAAAATGGACATGAAGAGACTAATCAGGTTGTGGGCAACACAGGATTATCTCATCCGGACCCCAGGTTGGTTTTGGTTTCACCTTCTGGCTGCAATTCCCACATCTTTTTTCTAAATGAGAACTAGGCAGTTAGAGACTTTGAGATTACGGAAGACTAACTCATGCAGGAAACTGTTTTCCCAGTAAAGAGTAGTACTTAATCTGGTATGCTTATCATGTGGCATATTACCAAAAATAAAAACGCTCTGCTCACCTGTGGCTGTGCAATATGCGCCTGTAGGGCAGCGGCAGGAGTGTTTCTGGGCAAGCCACAGCCTTCGCCATAGCAGGGAGTGGTTTGTTCTCTTTTCTGCCCAGCTGTGGGTTGCCATTGTGGACTCACATGTGCTCTCTCCCAGGGGATGACCTCACTGTCTATGGGGTTGTGATGCAACGCTGGAAGCTCTTTCAGCAAGATGTGCGCTGTGAGGTGGAGATAGTCCTGAAAGCCAACTATGTGCAAATAAATAACGAGCAGTCCTCCGGGATCGTTGTGGATGAGGAAGTCCGGAAGAAGTTTGAGGACTTTTGGGAGTACTACAGAAGCGATCCCTTTGCAGGTTTGTGGTCAGGGGTGTGCGGCTCACACTTATTACTGACGTGACTTTTGTTGCCTACCCGGTGTCTGATGTTTGGGGACAGCACACATGCTGTGCCAGGCAGGCTTTAGCCAGCCCAAAGCACAGTGAGCACCTCGAGCTGTGGTCTCCATCTGAACCCCTTTTCTAGCTAGTTTTTTCACTTGGAGGTCTTCCTGGAGATTTTTCATTTTTAACTGTTATTTAATCACTTGTCACACTGCCAAAAGTTTCTAAGTGTTCTGTCTTTTCTGCCAGTTAAAAATACAATTCTTTTAATGACTGAGCTCACCATATTAATATACAACCTTATTATGCTGTATTAAAACCATTATTTTCTAGTGTATTTTCAGTAATAAAGACAGCATTCCACTGTGCCAATGAAGATTTTAAAAGCAGAAGTAAGTAGAAAGGGTGATGACGAAGAGAAGATGCTACAGCAAGCTCTGCCGTCGCAGCATGGCACTAAGATGTAGTTACACCAAATAAAAAATAGCAGCCTTGGGGCGGGCTGTAGTTTTTATTGAAAATCCCGGGGGCTGGGGATTTAGCTCAGCGGCATAAACGCCTGCCTTGCAAGCAGGCAGTCGTGGGTTTGATCCCCGGTACCGATAAAAAGGAAAAAGACAAAAAAAAAAAAAAATCCCCAAATGTATAAACCAGCAATTAAGTTCTCTTGGTTTCTTTCTTCCTTATAGGCATGTGAGAAAAATATACAGAAGCCAGTAATAGATTTTTTTTAATAAAATTTTCCCCAAGTCTGTGTTGACTATTCTTAAATTACATGCTGAACTAGGTGGATACTGTTTCATAAGTATCCTTTTGCTTATATGTTGGCAGTTTGCTTTTATGGCTTTTTAAAAACTGATCTATGTAAGACATATACATTACTTCCTGACCTCTTTTACCTGATACAAATAGAAAGATGCCCAGAGTCCTGATTCTGTTAAGTAAGCACATCAGTAGATAAAGGGAAAAGAGAAAGTACAGTAACCTTCAAGAAATGCAAGTAGGAAGACAGTGAAAAAATGAGGCAGTATTTTCCTTTTGAATATGAATGAACTTTCCTTTCTTGGTTTCCTATATACCAGGTACCTGGGCACTATATTTGACTACTTTAAAGTGTGTGTGTGTGTGTGAGTGTGTGTGTGTGTGAGAGAGAGAGAGAATGAGTGTGTATATTTTGGTGAGGTGAAGGTGGGAGCTTTACCCAGTAGGACATCTCTGTTTTACCAGTCGCAAAGAAACAGATTGTTTTACCACTGCTCTCAGAGGTTGCTTGCTTCTGGATATTGTGGGTATTGACTAGCATGAGGTCTAAGGGTTTTCAGTCTGCATTGACCTTGAGGACCCCTTGATCATGATGCCTGGATACTGCTGGCCAGAATGCCAGATGCCGGGCTCTCTGCCATGCTAACTGAACCCACCTGGGGATAACTTGGTTATCTTAGATCAAAGAGGCTTTTCTCACAGAGATAACTGAGGGTTGTTCCATCAGAGTGGCTATCCTTGGCCATCACCACACTATAGATACTCTTCTGGAGTTAGGAATTTGGGAAGAATGGAGAGATGGGAGTAGTTTTTCTTTTGATGCATTCTCTTGCATGGTACAGCATGAACTCTTTTGCTGCCATGATTCAAGGAATCATGGTTTCCACCCTGGACAACACATTGAGGATATGGCCCTTTCCTTTTCCTGTCTTTGTTACTCCAGCTCTGCCTTCATACTAGAACTTTGTGTTGATTACACTTGAGGAAACCTTGAGATCAGAGATAAGCAGAGGTAGTTTAGGAAATAAAAATCAACAGCCAAGGGCCAAGGATTTAGCTTAGCACCCTAAGTGCCTGACTGGTAAGCACGAGGTTGTGAGTTTGATCCCTGGTACAAAAAAAAAAGCCAAGAAGCTCCCACTGCATGCCACTTTTACTGTGTGCTGTAAATTATAACTCCTCTCATTCTCAGAAATTCCATATAGTACAGTTATCATCTTCATGTAAAGATAAAGGAATGGAGACAGAGGGATTGTAAAACACAAAGTCAGGTCCTAGTAAAGAACAAGACTACAGTTTAGTCTAATCATACCCCAGAGCCTGTGCACTTTACCACTGGGTTCTGTAACAGTTTTGGCTTGAGTGTCTCCAGGTCAGTTTGTTTATGCTGGGTGTGTGTGTGTGTGTGTTTGCGTGTGTGTGTGCATGTTTCTGAGACAGGAGCTCCCTGTATAGTCCAGGCTTGCCTTGAGCTCACTATGTAGCCCAGACTGGCCTTGAAATCATACCATTCCTCCTGCCTCTGCCTCCAGAGTATTGCTGACTCTTAAATCAGCATCTTGGGCCTCTTTTTCTCTACATGTGCAATCCCTAGATTCTGGTCAGAATTGACATGATGGCTCTGAGGTTTTATGTTCCTACATTCTTGACCTTTTCTCTCCAGCCGGTCTCTGGAAAGGGATGGATTTCTTGTGGCCATTAAGTCTTCTCTCTGGTCTCTTTCTTAGTAAAGATATTCTCTCTCCACTGTTTCTACCATTCCAGGCCAGTGTGCCTTATTTTGATTCATCCAGGGCTTGGGGGTTTGGTGTATGCTTAGGGTGCTCAAGGCTCTAGCTCTTATCTCCAGCATGCAAAACCCAAACCCGGGTTAGATTTTATAAAAGGTGATCTTTGTGTTTGGGCTGAAAGTCATGGACTGGTGCAAGGGAAGGCCAATAGAGCTGTGTGGCTGGATTGGGCCTGTGACTGGAGGGCAGGGGACGCAGGTTCTCAGACTCAATGCTTTGTTATTTCTGAGAACAGAAATAGTGATAGTTTTTTATTTATTTAAAGTACACAGAAGAATTTGAAAGCTTTAGTTTGCACTTATAGCATTGTACTTTGGTAATGATCTTTTTTGTTTACTTCAGAAAGAATGAAATTTACCAAGGAACCCAGAGCAAATGCTGAACTGACTTGTGGGTTGGGTTGATTTTTCTTCCCTCCCTTCTCTTCCACTTTTGGAGGAGCTCAGAAACTTCCAGCTACCTGTTTACAAGTTCAGGCTCTTACAGTCTGCTTCACCTCTGAGGTGCTCCTTTACATTAGGCAGGGAAGCAGTTTCCCTGAAAGGACCTTGGAGAAAGTACAGCTGGTATTATTTTAAGGAATAGTGCTGGCCTGATGAGTGGTAGATGTGGCAGCAAAGATTTCTTTCTTGTGTTCTTTCTGAAATACGACAGAAATAAATTTAAGAAGATAAGCACACAAAAATAAAAAGCAGGCTTTCCTTTCATGACATTAAGAAAAGGACTTTAAGAACTAGCTATTCACTCTTTAGTAATTTGCATTGGCCTTTTTGATCACTTTAAATTTGTAGGAAAAGTACATTTATGAAAAGGTGTCAGTTGAGACAGGAAGGAGATTTCACTTAGGGTTTCTTGAAACTCTTGGTGAGTTCTGATCTTTCTGCTCCCCCAGGAAGGAATGAGATACTGGCCAGCCTGTGTCCGCAGGTGTTCGGGATGTATCTGGTGAAGCTTGCTGTGGCCATGGTGCTGGCTGGTGGGATTCAGAGGACTGATGCTACAGGAACAAGGGTCAGAGGTTAGTACCTGCTTAAACTTTCTGAGAAATGCACACATACCAGGAGAAAAGCTAGACTTTTATATACTGAAAAAAACTGTTGAGCTTTACTTTCTAAAAATAGTCTCCTACAGTTTATAGTTGTATGAGTGATTCAGACTTACTGTACCTCCTGTGTTTGTCAGAAGCTACTTTCTCAAATTTCAGACAAAAGAACCCCTTTCTTAGTGGGTTTGTACCTATACCGCTGTATGTAAAGGGACCTGAAGGAAAATCCTCACCTTCCATCACTGTTTGTCATCAGCCCCCTGGTTTCTCCCTGAGAAGATGGTTAAGACTCTTCAGTCATCTCTGTCCGTGACTGTGGGGTTCTCAGATTTCTTCTCTCAGCCATGTGCCTGATGAGCCCCTTCTGCTGGCAGACAGCAGACCTGTTACCTGCGTAATGCAGGTCACATATTCCAGCGGAGATGGTTGTTTTCGTGTCTAGACACAGAAAACTTCTGCAGCTCACAGACTGATAGACCTGAACATCCCTCATGTAAGCTGTAATAACCCAAGAGTGAACCCAAAGTGTAAAATAAAGTACTGTGAATCAGTCTGTTAACACATTGGGTCTCTGAAACCATACAGCCCTGTAGGGAAGGAATGCTATGGGTAAAGGTTATGTATGTTCTGTATCTCCATCACCTGTTACTTGCAAGGCTCTCACTGGATATGTGAACTAATATAGGAGTTTTCTATTGAAATTCTTAAGTATGACTGCTTGGCTAGAAAGGTAATATGTACTTTGAGACGGTCATGTTTATGGTACATTTGAAATTAAGGGTAGTTAATTAAGATAGCTGGTTTATTACAAAACTAAAATTTTCATAAAATAAGATTTTCACTTAACTGTTAGCAATTTAATCACTTCAGTATTTATAAAGCACTTACAGAGTCCTCAACACTGAGACTGCCCCCATAAAAATTGAGTAAAATACTTGCATGACTTGTATGGAAAGCCTTAATCACAGTAGTTGGGTATTTAAAAAGATAAAATCAGAAGCTTTATAAAATTTAGTGTTTCAGTCAACTTGATCCATCAGCAGTACGTACATGACTGTCCCATCAGGTAGCTTGTACCACAGTAAAATAAACAGACCTAATCACTCACAATCTATGGTGCTGGTTGGTGGGATTCAGAGGACTGATGCTATAATTTATAAAAAGAAATGAATTTATAAAAAGACTATGAATAGACTGAATTTAGTTGCTTGAATTGAAATAATTACTGTCTAAACATAAATGTTAATAGTTTACCAATTAAAAACAGTACAGTAATCAGCAGATTTATTTACTTCATTAAAAGAAATTTAAGTTAATGAACTTCTTTACAACATTTTATACATAAAATCAGCTGATTTGTGCAGCCTCCATTTTTTTCAGATAATTTTTGATAACATTTTTTATATTGCTGCTGTACATTCCTTGCCAACCCTAAATAAGCTTTTATAAAGTGAATGTTTTTTCAAGTAACTTGTGCCTGTGGCATTTCTTCACAGGTTAATAGTTTATCAGTTCTCTAAATTTTAACATGAAAATCTTACAAGTACTCCATTACTGGAGTATATAATATGCATTTACAACTGATGCCATTTTATAATTTCTTTTTTGGCCATTTCAGTGTTTTCCTTAAGGAACTGTAGTATATCTGGCCTGCTAAATCAGTGCCATCTTTTGCATTATTATAATCCAAGACCCCTTAAAAAGTGGTTCAAGTCACCCAGTGGGGCATTCATGCTGTTCCCAGTGGTTCAAGCCACCCAAAGGACGGTCAATTCAAATCAGAGCGGTGTGGCAGAGAGGCAGGAAGTACAGCCCCGTTGTGAACATGGTAAATGTTAAACATGGACCTAGTTAGTCATCTGGAAAGAATATAGAATCTATAAGTAGAATTTAAAATTTAAATGTCACATTTAGCAGTTAGATTATTGTACTTATTATTGTTAACATTCCTAAAGATATTCTAGTTAGCCTTCTTGAGTAACTTTCTATTAAAGTAACCTTATATAAAATTATATATCAGGAGTAACCTGAGCAATCTTATATAAAAGTATACATCAGAAAATCTTGTGAGGCTGGACATTGTGGCTCATACTTGGAATCCCAGGACTCCAGAGGCCGAGGCAAGATTTTGAATTTGAGGCCAGTTTGGACTGCACAGTGAGACCTCCCCACAAGTTATACAAAATACAGAAAAGGTGAACAAAATACACCATGAAAGTCATAAATAATTTTATCACAGTAGAAGACAAATTGCTGCTAATTCCCCTCAAAACACTCTCCCTTGCTTTAGTGATCTTTTCTTTTTTTGCTTTTTGGGATGTTTGTTGTTGTTATTGCTTGTTAAGTTGTCTGTTCACTTGATTTTGTGAGACAGGCTCTCACTCTGTAGTTCAGGCTGGCCTTGAACTCATGGCAGTCCTCCTGCCTCAGCTTCCCAAGTGCAGGATCACAGGTCTGTGCCACCCCACACTTGGCCTCCCTCTTGCTTTGAACATATTTAGCCCATCATTCTTGCAACTTTGTGAAGCAATTTTGAAAGTCCTCTTTCAGGAGTTTGAGAGATGATCAAAAATACAGTGAATAGTGCCACCAAGTGCCATCCAACAGAAGTCAGGCTAATGAAAACCTGGTGCTGGGTCTTCATCCCTCTTCTTCACCAGCTCTGTGACTTCTGGCGTTTCCCTAGAACCAAAATGACTATTGCCTTGGTTACTTTTCTCTGGTTGCTGAGACAAAATACCTGGTGCCCAGAATTAAGGAAGGAAAGATTTATTTGGTTTATTTAACTGATGGTTTGTAGAGGTTTCTGTCCAGAATCAGTTGGCCCCAAGGCAGGGTGGTATGGCACAGGGGTAGCACTTCATAGCTGCAGAAGACATCAAAAGCAACAAGACCAAAAAGTGGAGAGAGCAAGCCTCTTCCCCATATAGTGTACACAGCCTACCCACCCTGGGCAGGTGTAGCGCTCACACCATCCTGGAGCCCTCCTCTTGCTCAGGCTGAGAACACAAAGTGAGGGCTCTGACTCCCTGCTGAGTCACCTAAACTTCTAAACTTCTCAAGTTGACACAACGAATCAACCATTGCAGCCATGAAATGTAAACATTTCGAATTGGTTCAGGACTCTGAGGCAACCACAACATTGTAAGTAAAGTCACAAAAGAGGACTTAGAGCTGCTTCCAACAGTGGGACAAGTGTGTTTGATTTTTTTTTTTTTTTTTTTTTTTTTTTTGTCTTTTTTGAGGCAAGGTCTTGTTATGCAGTTCAGGCTAGCCTTGAGCTCACTTTGTAGCCCAGGCTGGTCTCAAACTTGCAATGATCCTCCGACCTCAGTCTCCCGAGTGCTGGAATTACAGGCGTGAGCCACCACACCCAACTAAGTGTTTTTGAATTTTTCAGGGTGATACCTCCTTCAACCGTTTAACATTCACTGTAGTTTTAAGTTGAGCATTCCAGGTGAGTCTTTTGATTGATAGTATTTATTCATGGGTCCTTCTGTAGAAATATAAAACTACATATTTACTTTTTTCTAGGTGAATCTCATCTTCTGTTGGTTGGAGATCCTGGCACTGGGAAATCCCAGTTCCTCAAATATGCAGCCAAGATTACACCAAGATCCGTGCTGACTACAGGAATTGGATCTACCAGTGCAGGTATTTTATGTGACAGCTTCAAGTAATTTATGTGTACTAAAAAGGTAACACTTCTATGAAAAAATACCCATAGAATAAATTTCAAGCCAAGTTTTTGAGTTACTGCCAAAATTGAAGGAAATATGTAACATTGCTTTTGTAGTTATGAAAAAATATTTTAGAAGCTCTACCTTCATAGCTATTTTAAACAGTGCTATAATTTTTCTGTGATTACCTTCATACATATTTATGCAAGAAAATGTACACATCATCTGGCATTTTATGAAAACTCAGCAAACAGAACATGACAGGAAAGTAAATGGGGACATTGCACTGTACAACGTGAGTTGGATAGCAGAGAGCTTCACACGCTTTTGTGATCGGGACTCTTGGGCACCAGCAGCGCCAAGGTAGAGATTTGTTGTTGGCATTTGGACAGCATGCTTCCCCTCCACAGCAGGGAGCTTTCTTCACAGAGTAGACTCTTCAGCATAGATGTTAGAAGTCTTTGTGACAAGTCAGGATTGGTTTTCAAAGTGACTGAAGAGAATTTAGGAATTTTTTTTCTATTTTTGGTATGGGAAGTTTTTTAAAAACGTGTTTTGATGTTGTTTTATGTCTTCATTGGAGTAATATTTCTCCTTCTAAAAAGAGGTGTTGTGGTTCACACATTTTAGGTATATAATTTTCTACTTAAGGGAACTTACATGGCCTGCCCTCAAACTTCTAACCAGCTTATACTTTAAAATTCGTCATATAGCACAAAAAGTTTACTACTGATGTGATGTAACTACCCTCAGATATTAGAATATAAAAGTGACCGAACTGTAATAAACATTGACAAGAAGAGAATTAGAAGTTGAGAGGTGTGAACAAGTTCAAATACTGGAAGGGAAATAGACAAGAATATATAAAGAATACTTCCTATACATTTAAAAATGGTTATGACCCACAGTTCCAAACTTCTGGTAAGGTATCAGCAACAAGAATTAAGGATGTTCCCCAAGTGATTACAGGAAATGTTTAAGTAATTGCAGAGTCCACAGACTGGGACATCTCGTAGTGAATGGCTGCTAATTCAGTGTTAATAAATTGTGTTAGTGCTTTTCTATGCAAAATCATAATTGTGAGATGAGGCTGGTGGAGAGTATAAATCATCTAATTGTAGGAATGAACTGCTACTTCTCTCCCAAAGGACAGGGGAGCCTTTTTCAGCCTCTGTACTGCAACTCAGTAGGAAGTTGTACTGCACACAGTAAGGGTGCGTGAATGGGTGTAGATCATGATTTTTAATGTAAATATATACTTGGGTTGCTTGTTTTACACCATGGATTAGATAAAAAGTGATCCGGCCTGCGGACCAATCTATGGGTCTCAACCTGGAGAGGGGATCGGGGATGGGGGCAGGACAAGAGAAAAGAGAGATGGAGACAGGATGAGATTCCAATCGAGTCTCGTTTATTTTTAAAATGGTTACAACTTATATAGGGTGGGGGCGGGCCATAGGCAGGAAGAAGGCTTAATCTGATAGGTCATCATCATATCCGGATATATGATGTAAGCAGGAGAGGATTATGGGTAATGTAGGCAGGCTGAAACAGGAAGTTTGCTTGTCATGTGCATTGCAGGCAAGGGGAGGATCATGGGAAATGTAGGCTGACACACAAAATGCCCTCAGGCAGGAGGGGCAGGGCAGCAGCAGCTATTTAAAACCGCTCCCTACATCTCCTCCCTTATTATTATATATATTTTTTGGAACATGGCAGGCCCTGGGAGGACAGCGCCTGCCTTGGGTCAAGGACTCCTCATATGAACCCAATCGAGCCTTACCCGTCATGGGCCTGCAGGACAGCTGTTGGTCCTGGACCTGTCTTAGGTGGCTGATTGGCATTACATATGTGTCCTAGTTGCCCGTCTCTGACTGCCTGTCCAGTGCCTCAGGGCGTCTGGGCCACAGCATCATGTGGGCCGTCAGTGGGTGAATTTTCCCGATAAGTTTGTTGTTCTGCCATTTCCAACCGATGGTAATATACCTGAATGGGCTTTGCCATAAATGTGTCAACCTTGTTATTAATGTTATTAATGAGTGTTATGATCCTCTGGAAAACACAAAGTCCTACAGTAAGCAGCAACAGCAAGGCAGCTAGGGGTCCCAAGAGGGGGGCAATGTAAGGGGAGAGATCCTCCCACATGGAGGAGAAGGTGGTTGCTCCGATGCACTCCTTTTCTCTCTCTTCGAGGTGCTCTCTCAGTTTACTCATGGACTCTTTGACTACTCCCGAGTGGTCAGCATAAAAACAACACTCTTCCTTGAGGGCTGCACATAAGCCACCCTCCTTCATAAACAGGAGGTCTAGTCCTCTTTTATTTTGCAGGACTACCTCAGATAGAGACGTCAGGGACGCCTGTAGAGCTGTCACAGATGCTTCTATTTCTTTTAAATCCTGATCTACTGCTGCCTGTAATTGAGCTAGATGCTTATCTCCCAACACTAGAGCTGTGGTCCCTGTCCCTATTCCCGTTGCTACTCCTAACCCTAGTAACACAGCTAAGGTGAATGTCACAGGTTTTCTCTTAGATATATAGCCGGTCTGCGATGCCTGGAGGTAGTAGTCTCCTGGGTGGAAGGTTATGCGTGGAAGAACCTGTACAAGAACACAAAAATCTGTAGACTTGTTAAAAACAGCAGTTGCTATACAGGGTGATAGGCCAAAATTGCAGGCCCAAGACGTTCCTGGGGGTGGAATGAGGTAATTATTTGGCTTGAATTTGGAATGAAGCTGGGCACAGAGTTGTGCTGCCAGTGCTGGTGGACGGCTGGAATCCCCAAGACAAGTTTCTCTACCTGAGACATCAGGGAGAGTCAGCTTGTGGTGATTGTTCCAGTCACAGGCAGATGAGCTAGAAGAACTGATAAAGGTTAAATTGAGGGCCTTTCCTTCATAATATGGGGGAGGAGCAGCCAAGCATAACCAACATGATTGGGTGAGATCAGGTTGGGTATGATTTAAAGCCATGTATGCTCCTTTAATCAAACTGAATAGGTTAGAATGTGAATATTGAGGGGCAGGTACATGATCTGTCTGGTGTAGCGGAGCTTGAGAAACTGTTATGGCTGAGGGACTTACTGTAGTTATTTGAACAGTAGTAACAGGATCTGTAGTGGGCTGATTGTATTTTGGATTTGGATGTAAGGGAATAGAAAAAAAGCAATCTTTAAGATCAATGACAATTTTAAAAAATCCCAGAGGAATGGCACTGGGTGAAGGGAGTCCTGGCTGCAGATGTCCCATTAAGACCATGGTCTTATTTACTGCCCTAAGGTCTTGTAGCAGCCTCCATTTCCCTGACTTTTTTCGAATAACAAAGATGGGTGTGTTCCAAGGGGAATCACTGGGGACAATGTGGCCTGCATCTAACTGGTCCTGCACTAGCTGCTGTGCGGCTGCAAGCTTTTCAGAGGTAAGGGGCCACTGATCGACCCAAACAGGTTTGTCTGATAACCAAGTAATCTCTTTTGCATGGGCCGCAGGAAGGTCAATGACCCCTATTGAAAATGGCCTAGGCCTGCTTTAGAGGGGTTTGGAGTTGGGGAAATAGGCACTTTAATGCCTGAGCCTCGTTTGCCTAAACCTTGATTAGGAAGGAAGCCCTGAGTGAGCATTTGTTTGGTGACTACAGCATTGGGACTGCCCATCATCATTCCCATTTGAGTTAGCAAATCTCTGCCCCACAAGTTAAGGGGCAGCCCCTCTACAATATAGGGCTGTATGTGCCCCTGATTGTTCTCACTATCTTTCTAGGTAAGTAGACTGGCACTACGTTGTGGATTTTTAGATTGTCCAATCCCTTGTAAATGCATCATAGTGGTTTCTAAGGGCCATGTGGGAGGCCAGTCCTCCTTTCTAATGACTGTTACATCAGCACCTGTATCTATGAGCCCTGAGAAACTTTTCCCATTAAGCAATAAAGACATAAGGGGTTTATCTTTGGAAATGAATTGAGCCCAATATATATCTGAGGATCCAAGGGAAGAATTTCCCCTGTAGGAAGCCACAGCTGCATTAGAAGTTTGAACTAAAGGCAGCAGCACCAACTGAGCAATACGTTGTCCTTGGCTAATGGAAACTAGGCCAGAGATAGAGGATGCCATGACAACAATTTTGCCAGTATAGTCGTTATCTATGACTCCTGGAACAACTTGTAACCCTTTTAATATTGTGCTGCCGCGTCCAAGAATTAACCCACGAGTGCCCTTGGGAAGAGGGCCATAAATCCCGGTGGGGATGGCTTTGGGCAGCCTCTTCTGCTAATTGTGACCAATCAACTTCCTGGCCACTGGAAAGGTCAGGGTAAATAGGGCGGTATGGAGGAGGGGCCGTGGCGGCGCCATTTTGAGGACCCTCGTGGTCTCCAGACAAAGGGAGTGTCGGCACATCGCCATCTTGAATAGGCTCCGGGATCTCAAGGACAACAGAGCTGGGAGGGCTGGGTGCCTTAGATAAGACTGGTGGTGGCGGAGTACAATTGCAGGAGGCAGCTAACGCAGCCTCACCCTGGGCAAGCGTCTCCGCGAGCTGGGGATCTGCGTGACGTTGTGCCAGCAGCTCAGAGATTAAAGTCCAATATGAAAAAGCAGTTACAGGAACCCTTTTTGGACCAAAAACTTCATAATAGTCCTTAAGAGCATCTCCTACTCTATTCCACCTGTTTAAATTAATCGTACCCTCTAGGGGGAACCATGGACACACTGAATGTATGAACTGAAAATACTTTATTAGTTCTTTTGTCTTAACCTTGATCCCTCTAATCTTGAGAGCCTCCCTGAGGCCAGTCACGAACAATTCGTGCTCACTGAGTGCTTGTCCCATGTTAATGCCGTTCACCTACCGTGATTCAGGCGAGACGTAAGGTGGCCGTCTGCACAGATCACAGGACCAATGTCCTTGAATCAGTCACGCTGGCCAGCGCTTTACTCCTGTGAACGGTCCCGCGTCGTTATCCCTCGTGCCAGGTGAGGTCCCTTCGTGGTCGCCACTTGATCCGGCCTGCGGACCAATCTATGGGTCTCAACCTGGAGAGGGGATCGGGGATGGGGGCAGGACAAGAGAAAAGAGAGATGGAGACAGGATGAGATTCCAATCGAGTCTCGTTTATTTTTAAAATGGTTACAACTTATATAGGGTGGGGGCGGGCCATAGGCAGGAAGAAGGCTTAATCTGATAGGTCATCATCATATCCGGATATATGATGTAAGCAGGAGAGGATTATGGGTAATGTAGGCAGGCTGAAACAGGAAGTTTGCTTGTCATGTGCATTGCAGGCAAGGGGAGGATCATAAAAAATATAGGCTGACACACAAAATGCCCTCAGGCAGGAGGGACAGGGCAGCAGCAGCTATTTAAAACCGCTCCCTACAAAAAAGCTCTGAAAACTGCTGCCAACTTTCTTGGTAAAACTGAAAACTTCTAATTCTAATAGAACCCTAAGGTCACATAAAGATATGAGTGCACAAATGCATGGTGCTTCCCTACACTTCCTGGCTGTTTGTCTTCCAAAATGTTACCCTTCATTTCTTCTAGCTCTTCTTGGCAAAGTAACATATGCCTGTTTATGTTCCCCAGGCACAATTATTTACTGATGGGTGGGAGTGGGGAGATTGAAGCCTTCTAGCTGATTCAGATAGTCTGAAGATGAAGCTAAATGAGAAGAAATGTACATACTTTAATTTTAAAACTTTGAATCTGTTTTGTCACATTCCAAAGTTGCCTTATACAGCTATAAAATTTAACATAAAAAAAGGTAATAAGCTAGGCATGGTGGCATACACCTGTAATTCTAGTGCTGGAGAGGCTGAGGCAGGAGGATCACCCTGGGCTACATAATAAGTCTAAGACAAGCCTGAATTACATAGGGAGACTATCTCAAAAAACCAAAAGGAATCATTTTTTAAGTCCGAAACTTACATGAAAAATGGCTGTTTACAAAGTGGTATAAAAACCTAGCTATTTGATGTAACTACAAAGCAATCTTTATAAATTAATTAGAATAAAAATTCAGCAGTGAATTATTTGATTTGGGTATGTTTTATTTCTAGTAAGTACATATCATTTCTTGTTCCTGCCGTATTAGTCACTGAGTTATTAGAAAGCATTTTTATTTTCACTTTGATATTTTAACTGCAGTTAGACAAAAATGAGATTTTCTTTATAACTTTAACCCTTAGACATATTTTAAAAATCTATGAACTGTGGTGTATTAAAGTATAACAGCAAAACTTTGCTGCATAAATTCATTTTAAGATGACAGGAAATATATACAACTTAAATCTGTATTTAGACAAATGCACTTTCCTTAAAAGCTTTTAAAAGTACAGTATAGAACTTTAGATATGAAGGCACTGAGTAATCTGTATGATGTAGCTGTCTTGTTAACAGTTAAATAAAAATACTCTGCCCTGAATTTAATGCAGCATAAGAAACTTTTAAAGGAAATACCTAGCTTTCATCAAAGAAAAGTAACTTTTTGGTGCATTTATGTAATGAAGCCCTTTCCAATTAGAAACACCTTATTAGAAACACTGCTATTCAGAATCGTGTTACTGGAAAGGTATCGAGAAGATGCCCACCACAAGTATGCTTGACCTTAGTCGTTGCATGCCAGCAGGTACAGGGAAGAGTACAGGTGTGGGATACACAGGTTTCTGGTCCCTTACCTGTTAGGACAAAGGCAGTCGTGCCATCAGCTGAACAGGTTTGAGCCATTACAATCTCCTATCCTTCACCAAGGGAGTTTGTGTCTGCTGTTCATATGTTGAAATAACTGGACAATACTCATTTATAACCCATGTGCTCTGATATCAACTGTTACAAAAACCATAGGCAGCAGAGCTTAGAAACCATTGGTCACATTTGTTATAAATGCATCCAATAGCATGAGTTGTAATAGTAGCCACAAGATGCTTTGTTTTGCTACCCTAAGGTTCTTAGTAGCATATGGCTGACTACAAGTTCCCTTTTTAAGGGCACTCTTTCACTACAGATAGAAATCTGCCCCTGAAATCAAAACCACACTTTTTCACAGGAATAAGCCTTTTAGTACAAGTGAACTTTGTGTAAACCAGTAAAACAGCAGTCCAAAGATTACTGTCCAGGAGGCTAAGCAGCTTTACAGTCTAGTCAGAAGATTCATATTTTTGTTAAGTGCTTTAATTACATATAAAGGAGAAGAAAATAATATATATACTTTAATCTGATTAGTTTCAGAACAAATAAAATAACGCATTAGAGAAAAGTTACTTAAAAATAGTTGTATTTATATTCCACAATTTGCTCAAATACTGGTTTTCTTACAAACTTTCTACAGGATGAAATTCTTCACATTGTGTCTTAACTATGTATTTATGGAATTTCAGGGAAACAGTTCTGGTTTTGATAGCTTAATTTGTACTAAAGGGATGGCAGTGGTCACATGCAGTCCATGTGGGATTCTAACATGACGTTCAGTGAGTTTTCTGATGTGGACCACCCCTTTGACGCCGAAGGTAAAGCATCTGTTGACAGAAGTGACTGTAGATTTGGATTACTGCTCTCTGCATCTTCCAGTTTTTCTGTATTATCTTCCCAATTAATGTGGAATCTTGTAACCCTGGGATTAGATGCCAAAATATTCCTTTGAAGCTGGAGGAAAAAATGTATAAATGATAAACATTAGCAGAGTTAGGTTGCCAAATATAGATAAAAGCTTCAAAATGGTTGTTGATGTTAGTCTTCCTAAAGAGATAGATTCACAAGCAGAGGAACTTTTAGGTGTAACCAATAACCAAGGAATAAGCAAAGGAATTACCTCAACAAAACAGAAACCAGAGAATCTGAGGGAATTCATCCAGATATTCCATAATCCAACCCCTAAAAGGGTAGAGTTTTTTTGTCGTAAAGATGTTTCTGAGGATGTTTTAATTAAACAATGTTCAAGGAAAATGAACAATTTCCTCAAATATAACTTATTTGTAGCTTCCTACCTTTTAAGCACAATGGCTTATTTTTATAAACAGTATTCTAGTTCTCTTTTTTGGTACTCATGATGGCCACACATGTAACAATAAATTGGATCAAAAGAAGGTCTTGCACACAAGGTGGAAAGCATTCCTGTCTGATTATCTGAAAACTGTTCTACTACCATGAACTGGCAGACAGAATACCATATTCAACCTCACTTACTCTGTACCCTCTCAAAATCAGCTCCAAATGGAAAAATCACAAGATACTAAATACCTTTGAAAATGGTGTGTTAGATTTTTGCTTCTTAGTATTTAGCCTGCCTGCCATCATTAGAAATAATTAAACCTTCGGTTGAACCTCTAAGAATAGCAGACAGAACAAAGCATGTGGGGATATAAGGATAGCAACATTCATATGAAAAATAAGCATAAAACTTCCAACAATTTTAGGGAGAATTTGGACAAAATCACCAATTTAACCCTCCCAACAGACAGGAGCTTGGACAGCAGCGCAAGGCTAAGTGTGGGAACCTGCACTGAGGGCCACACTGGCCTCTGGACAGGGGGTCTGCCCAGTATTACCGGCTTAAAACACAGCAAGAGCCAGGGCTGGAGCCTGTCCATGGTCATGGCACAAGGACTACCCTGCCCAGCTAGCACAAGGGCTTCAAACTTGTTAAGCATCTCAGCCGTTTACATAATGTCCTATGAAACAGCAAGTGCCAAGACATTGTATGGTACAAGACATGAAAAAGAAGCCATAAGAACATTACCTTAGAGAAGTCTGGTTTCACTGGTGGATTTTCCCTTAATTCTGTCTCAGTATATTCATTATTTACATAATAGCCAACTCTAATAAATTCTTGACCTCGATAGGTGCAAGTAATTAACACAACGGTGACGCCAACTGCATCTGCATCTGGAATGAGTCCTGGGTTGGGCGCATCAGCCTGAAGATTGGACACACAGACAGGCTGTTAGGGCAGACCTGAGCATTACCCACCCCAGCTTCCCTACCTCCACCTCACCGTTCTGTGTCTCATTTCTCAAGGCCGAGTTCTTGTCCTGTGGAGTGTTAGAATGTCCCAGCAAGTGTCCTAGCATTAGCCTATCACACACACTGCAGAGCATCTAAACAGCTATTCAGGTTTCCTTGCTAGACTCGCGACACTTTATTGAGGGGAAAGAGCCCATCCAGTATCTTTATGCCTGTTTTAAAAACCTTATTCCTATTTCTAAGGGACAAAAGCCTCAGTTCTTTAATTCTAAAGCCCTTCATAATTTATCTCCATCTCTACCTCCTTCAACTGTCCTCCCATCCCTGTTCCAGAAGTGTGAGTTACACAGCACATGGTGATGATCCTTTGTGCCTTGAACCTAGTGCCCCTCCCATCTTGAAATCATTTCATCTTTGGAAATCTGCATCACATGTGTGTCTCCCTCCTCAGCCAAGCCCATTCCAACTCTGAAGGTAGAATCAACAGCTTCCTGTTTCAAATCTTTATTACTTGACACACCCTCTACTAGTGTGTGCCCAACATCTTCTGCATGTTTAAACTTCAGGCTTCCCTGGTAGACTCTCACCCTTTATTCAGGGTAGGAGTTCCATCCAGTTATCTGGATCATATGATGTTCAATGCAGCTATGAGCATTTGGGTTTTGAAATTCACTTCTACTCAGTTCCTGTCCTGGAAGGGTTTATGATCTCTTTAGAGACATACTAGGGTGGGGCTAGAAACTTCTCCAGGAGAACATGCTATTTGTCATAGGTCCTGTCTAGGATGCCCATTGGATTCTTAGGTAATTGGAAGTAGGTAGATATGGGAAACACAACTGTGTCTAATGCTGAGGCTCCCCTCATGTTGATTCCCTCACTCAGTGAACAGAATGCAGCTTGAACAGGTTCAAGTAGAGAAACCTGCATGTCTTTTATGATAATGTAGCATGGAGAAGGGGCAAACACTGCTGATACCAAAGAACCATAGTGGGCAGAGGCCTGCACATCTTCCTGCTGACCTTTGACCCACTTATGAGAAAGGCCTATTTGTTCTGAGTCAAATCATGGCAGATCAGGAAAATACTAAGGCAATTTGCCTAAAACACAAAACAAAAACTACTTTCGGCCAGTAATGGCAAACTTACAGCACACATGCTGCAGTGGGCTGTTTACATCACTGAAAGCTCTAAGAAGTTCACAGCAGTGCCTTAGGCATTTTCTGTTGAAATGGGTGAATTCTGTAAAATGTGTAGGCTAATCATGTGACCTAAATCATAAGTCATACTGCACTTTCTGTCCTTTGTGGCAACATGTATACTAGTACCAATGGAAGGCTACTTATCACTGGAAGGTAGTATTTGTTAATCAGTTTTTTTCAACAGGACTGTGAGACAAAAGCTTAGGATAGTGTTTTTAACAGAAACAGAAGATGCACAAAGCTTTATTTCAAAAATCAAGGCATTTATTAGTAAGTTTACAGTAACATAAAAGGTATGTACTGTATCCCTATATACCAAGTTTCCCATGTCATGATCAGTAAGATATGGGCTCCCCAGGCTGTGGATCTGCCTTTTTATATAACAGTTTCAAGAAGCTGACAATAAAAATTTATTTCTAATTACCCATATTTTTAGAGGGACCCAGCAGGTAGGGAGCTTGGGTGAAGTCATGTGTCTTAACATGCAGAGGCTGTATCTGCCCCAGGGCTTCCTCCTATAGTAGCGCAGGTGTTCTGTCACCTGGTCTCACACAACCCAGGTGGCAGCATTTGTAGTTAGAGTAGTTGAGCCTTCTAATGAGTATATTTAAGCTTTCCTTCATGTTTAGAGGTACTAGATTATCTTCTGCTTCCTAATAAAAAAGACCAAGGCTCTGAGACCAAGCTCCTGAATTCTGTGTTGAGGGAAGGGGCAGCAAAGGATGTATCCCTGGAGCTAGCGTGCATCTGACTGACTCTGCTGTCTTCCAAAGGATGGTTAACAGACAGAATTCAGTTAATGTGATCCCATCTGCCTAGTGAAGAAACAGGCAGAAGTCAGATTTTTCTTTCAGATTAAGCCTATTCAACAGGCAGAGAGTAGATGCTTTAATAACTACTGCACTGTAATTCCTGTGACTGAAGATCACACACCTGTCCGCTAACATACCTGTTATTCTAGCTCAGTTCCCGAGGAAGCTAAAAGTGAACTGTTCCGGTTATATCCTCACTCCTAGTGACTGAAACCATAGAGCGAAGGTGTACATTAGTCACTGATAGAATCATTCTTATGACGTCTGTCACTAATTAGCAGGGTTATACCAGACAGTAAATGTGCCCTGAATCTCTATTTTGGGCTGCTGAAGAGCCATCCTGGAGATTGGGCCCACAAAAGTTTCAAGCCCAGACTTCACCACTGTGTGCCTGCCCCTGAAACAGGCTAAGGCTTGCTGTGTGCTGTGCATCTAGAGAAGATGATACACACACCTCTTGGCCTACAGAACCAAAGGAGTAGCTTCTTTAAGACAGTCTGAAACACATCAGAGTGGAAGCAGTTTAGGCACAACAGTTTAACACAGAACTAAGTAGACAGGACCCACAAGATAGTAAATGCAGTCTCTAGAAACTATTTGGCATACACATTTATCAAGACCAGTCTTACCTGAAATACAAACATATGCCTTCCTGCAGGAACAGGGCCCACTAAAACAGAGTCTAAAACTTGATCATATTCTTCACTTTCTGCAGAGCCCACGTAGATAATTTTCCACTCCAAGTCTAGAGTTAAGAAACAAAACATTATTTCAGATCAGTAATTACATGACCAGATGTACTCTGTAATGCTAATGCACTTTACCATTTACTGGCTGCTAAATGGCTCCCCATAGCAGAAAATCCAGAAAGGCACTGAAGTGCTCCTCATATGGTTTTTACCAGAATTGAAATGCTATCAGCATTGTCCTGAGGGTTCACTTCATTTGAGTGTTCTGACACCTTCTTTAGTAAAGGACCCAGGAACATCCATTCAGTGTTCCCCACAGTATTCATCTGTCTGTGGAACCCCACTTCTGTTCCTGTGCCAGCGCCAAAGCCATCCTTTAACAGCCCCCTTAACATGCTGGAAGGGTTGCCCTGAGGTGGGAATCAGCAGAGCACCACAGTACCCAGTCCTCAGCAGCGCTTGCTGGTGCGCAGCAGCTGGGGCTCCTGCTCACCAGGGGAAGTGGCACGTGGCGTCATCACTGTCCCTGCAGCTGAGACTGGGATGCCCACCCACTACTAACTGCAGGTGTTGGGGCTCCTCCTCACGGTGCCCCTCATGGCACACTTTAACCTGAACAAGAGCCAAGACCCTTATACCCTTGACACATGTTTGGTGGAGGTGGGAACAAGCAGGGAAAGACATCAGTGGTGTATAATTCATCCAGCAGTCTTCATTGAGCACCTTTTACAGCATTTTCTGGGGAGCAGAGATGAGTAAAACTGTGGCTCTTCAGCAGGAGTGGAAGAAAAACTGCAAATACTTAACTGTCCCTATACTTATCCCCAGAGGCAGAATGGCAAGTGGCCAGCCAGACTCACAAAAGGGAGTTTTGGGATCCTGGTGGGGAATGTAGAGAAATGGTGTAGGTATTACAGTGTTTCTCACTCACCTGATTCTTAACTACAATTCGGTGAACTGAAAGTTAGTTTCTGCTTCCTCTTTAAGTCAGCAGTGACATTCTGAGGACCTGGCACATCATGGCTCTATCCTAAACTAAGACTACTTCTTTCTCCAGCTTTTAGCACAGCTTCCTGCCTCTGCCATCTCAGCAGATCACCTACTGTGTCTGCTGACAGAGCTGAGGAAAAGGCTTCCCAAGCATCCAGTCAGGAGGCAAAGCAAGGAGAAGGGGATGCCAGGACAGGAGCAGAATGAGAAGAGGGAGGAGGGACACAGCCAGTCTGCCAAGCGCTGAAGGCCATCAAAGTCTGACTTTCCCACAAAGTGGCAGGGAAACTTGCTCTGCTTTGCTTCGCTGTGCTGGGTAGACTCCAGGGCCTCACGCATGCCAGGCCACAACCTCTACTAAGGCTGAGCCCGTCTTATCAAGAGCTGGAGTGGCAAAGGTCCAGCTATCCACGTAAGACACCATTCCAGCTGAGGGCTCAGGAGACCACAGGAAGCTAAGGGAAATCAAAGGTCACCGCAACAGTTGAGGTTTGCAGTCAGGCTGGACTAGACCAGGATCATGTGTGGCTGTAAATTCTGAAGGCAGCAGCAGCAGCCACTGCTTTTCACAGGGGCTAAGGTGAGGCAGATCATCAGGAACCGCTGCAGGCGTCTGAGGTGTCTGCTACTGATTAGGGGAGATACCGAGCAGCTGGTGAGAGGTGTACTACCAGTGAGACCCATGCAAAGCTATGACAACGCGGGCTTCCTAGGTAGAGTGAGGCCAAGACAAACAAGCAGCAGCTGTTTTAGGGCTGCGATGGCTACAGATGAGCCAAGGGAGGATAAAACAGAACTCTCACAGAGGTATATACCTTTTTATGTATGTGTGCTGCATGTGTAATGCTCTTCTAACTGCTGTAAACTATCACAGGAGCGTAGCCATGACTTAGACTTGCGTTAAAAGATACTGGCCACATGCTCGGCCTTGGTCCTGCCAGTTTATGCTGTTCACCCTCAACAGCTCTATCACACACACTTGATTGTGCAATATATGCATTTATTATATATTGCAAGTAGTACACAAACAACAAAAGTCTAAGCTCTCCCTGAATCGGCACTGCTTATACACTATTCAGCATTAGAATGCAAGCTGTGCTGCTGCAACTCCAAAGCCTGTGACTGGGCAGAGAAATTTTCCTTTTCTAGCGTGAATCAGTAGTGGAATAAGGAAACTTAATCCAGGGGAAGGATCACAGAGACCAGGCAACTGACAGGTGATTGTATGTTAACCAGTACAGGCTGTCACGCAACACAAGCACACTGATTTTACACCATGAGATGTGTGTAGCAGCTATTGAGCTTTAAATGCTCAGTGTCATTTAAGGTGGTATCAGCTGTTTTACTTTTGTGGCACTGGAAACTGAACCTAGGTCCTTTATACCGAACAATCTCCCTGCCCCTTTAACTTTTTATTTTAAGAAAGGCTCTTAGTAAGTGGTTAACTTGCTTAGGCTGGGCTCAAACATGCAACCCTCCTGCCTCAGCTTGCCAGAGAGACAGGTTTACAACCCTAAGGCCCATGTATTTTTTTAAACTTAGGTTTCATTCCCTAGTGCCTTGTATTCCAACAAAGAAAGGATAAGGTTCACACGTTACCGCTGAAGATGTTAATTCATTTATTTACAAAGTTAATTAATTCTTTCCTTTAATCATGGTTGTCCCAGCCTTGAAAGTATAGCATGGTAGCCACTGAGGGAACCTGAAGTTTCCCAGTGTGAAGCATCATGTGCATTCTGGTGCTCTGTAATATTCTGCTCTGGTGCACTGTGAATATTTGACTGTCCAGGCTCTGATTATGGGTATACATCAGTGAACTCAGAAACGGCAGTGAGCTGAGGGGCACCAAACTTCTACAGGGCTGGTGACCAAGCACAAGAAAGCCTGCTTGAATTTCAACCTCCCATTTTTAAGGCTGTTCTCCTTGATATAGATCTTACATTAGAAATGACCCAATTACCTAAAGGGCAAATACTACTAGAGCTTTCTCTGCAGGGCAGCTTTTAAGGAAAACGAAAATATTCGGGGACTGCTAACACGTATGAAAAACGGCTGAGACAAAATAACACAAAATGAACATTCTCAATATTCCGTCATTTGATTTCTGGGATAGACTTTTCTTAAAGAACTACAATACAGAAGTATAAAATCTGTCAGGATCCTTTGCTAGGTAAATTTGATTTCCTTAATCCACACAGCCTCTAGGTGGAGTACACAGGCATGGCACCTTTTTGAGATTCCTTTGCAGCTTTGGAATGACTCAGCTTGAAGTATTTTAAAAAGTACTAAATACCCAGCGGTGATGTACTGGGTGAGGCATCCTCAGTGGAAGTAGGTGCAGCCTTGATCTTCCAGGTCTAAGGACCCCAGTTAGAGTGGAGCAGTTTAGCCTCTACCGATGGGCTTCCGGGGAGCCAATGGCAGGCTCTGCACAGCCCTGAGCCCTGCCTTCCCGGCTTGGAGCAGGGATCTAAAATGGAGGGCAGGCGCGCGGCTAGGTCCTGGACTGCAGGGCAGCGCCTGCGGGCCGGGGTGGGCTTGACCTGTGCGCCTACCTGCACGTGTGCAGCTGGCAATACAAGACGCTGGGCGGGAAAACCGGGCTGGTTTGGAGTACTCCAATTGGAGTACTGCCTATTGGAGTACTCCAGGAGAAACGATGGTTTCAGGGTAATGAGGAAACTACCTTCTGATTCTGTTAATCAATGCTGTATTTGGAAAGTACTCTTTTAATAAATGTCACCCTTCCCAGTATACCTCACAGATAAATATACATGTGTCTCTAAGCTCTGTACGTGTATCAGAGCAGCAAGACACATGTTCAGGTGCTAATAGTGGTTAGCCAAAGGAAGGGGAAGTATGAACTGTTACTTTATACGTTTTTACAACTTTCCAAAAGTTTACTGCAACGGGCATGTTAGTTTTGTAAGTAAAGTTAACATAAAACATTTTAAAGACGAAAAGTAGTTTTTAAAACGAAAAAAAAATGCTTTACACGATGTGATTAGTATAATAACTTTTGTGTGTGTGTGGTGCTGGAATCGAGCTCAATGCCTTGTACCTCCCGGGCAGGCGCTGTGCCACTGAGCTATTATCACCGGCCCCAGTATGTAATAACTTTTAAGTGAACTTTGTCAAATAGATTTGCAAGTTCAAAGATGTCCCCCTACTTAACTGTAAAATTAACAATGAATTTAAACTTTTTCTTTTCATTTTTTGAAAATTAAGCACTAAGACATTTTCATGAAATCTACGGAAAGCAGCTATAGGCAGATAGGTGTTCTGTTAACAGAAGCTGTTGCATGGCCATCAGGCACGCACCTCCGTCTGCTCGCCGCCCCTGGGTTGCGAGCAGTCTCGCTTCAGACCTCCTAGGGCCGAGCAGTGAACGCGGCGAGCTCCGTGTAACTTGCAAGCGCGGCTCGGCGGAGCGCGGTGCGGGGCCGAAGCCCGCGCGGTGTCGACTGCGCATCACGGTCCGGGCCAGCCGCGGCGGCGGGGCGGAGCGGGGAGGTCAGGCCACGGACCGCGAAGATGGCCCCGCGCCCGCCGTCGGGTCCCGCCGCCGCCCGCCGCAGACAAAGCTGGCAACATGGCTCCCACCCGCCCGCCCTCCGCGCCGCGCCCCGCGCTCGGCCGGCGCCGCTCACCTTCGCTCAGGTCCTCGATGCACTCGAAGGTGATCTCGAACTGGAACGGGTTGTAGAAGGGGGACGGGTTGTCCAGCACCACCACATTGTTCACCTGGACCTTGGCCATGGCGCGGAGGGCGGGCCGGGCGCCGCCCGCGGCCCCACGCCGCCGCCTCCGCCTCTGCCTCCGCCCGCCGGGAACTTCGCTGGGAGCGGGCGCTCCGCGAGGCCGTGCAGCCTAGTCCGCGGAACCCCGGCCCATTCTGCCGGGTAACGCGCCGCGCCGCCGCCGCGATTGGCCGCGCGCTCGGACCTCCTCTCCAGGCCGCGGCGGCGGGCAAGAGGGGCTCCAGGCGGCGCGGCGCGGGCGCTCTCCCTGCGGCTCCACCTGCTGGCGCGCCGGACAAAGCGAGCGCGGGGCCAGCCAGGCGGAGGCCGCAGGCCCCGCCCCCGCCCCGCCCCGCCGCCGGCCCCGCCCCCGAGCCCCGCGTCGGGCGTGGCCACGGAGGGAAGGCACGGGAGCGCGCCATCCTGCCCTCTGTGCTTCCTGGAGGAATTTTGGTTTTCTCAGGTTTTTTTTTTTCTTTTAGCGTTCTTTTAGTATCAGTGTAACGGTTCTGTCGATACTTCTGCATTTAGCAGATAAGCTTGACTTTTCTACTGTCTGTTGGTCTCCTCTGTTATCCAAATGATATTTGGAGTAGAGAGCGGGTTGGTTGCAGGGAAAGAAATAGCAACTTGTACACCAATGTCAGCTCTAAAGGCGCAAAGCCATTTTGGAAATGGAGTTCTTGTCTAGCGGCTGCGTTGAGTTAGAGACACAAAAAGAGAGGCGGGGCGAGTCTCCATACAGGCTTTCAGGGAAGCCTAGACTGGTCGTCTGGAGCTGCATCTGGGTTTTCTCCGGATTCCAGATCCAGCAACTCCCAGAACGAGAATAGAAATAATAGGAGATGTGATGAGCTACATCTCAGCTGGGGCACATAAGGAGCGCATGGGAGGGGAAAATTCAGCTCTCCGCGGACCAGGGAACCCAGGTGGAGAAATCAAAGGAGGGAACACGCAGCCACATCAAGACGTGTGGTCTGCAAAGCATGTATAATCGAAGTCTTGAGTAAATAATACTTGTAGCACGACAGATACTGAGAAGCTTTTGCATGTCTAGCCAGTTCAAGGCTGAGCAGAGGAAACGATTCGTTTATGCAGCTGGGCACATGTTTGTGAGGCAAGCTGTCCCTGTTTACTAAGTCAGGTTGTATAAAGGTTAGTTTTATTGTTTGCTATTCATAAACACTATTTTTTCCTCGTGATGTATATGAAACCATTGATCTTGACTAAAATTCAGAGTGGAAGTTATTTAAGAACATCTATAGTGGATGAATTTTCTCATAGTGCATTACCCAAAACTTTGACTAGTCATTCTTTGGACATTATTCATACTTAAATAGCTTGATTTTGATGAAATATGTTCATCTGATAGTCTTTGAAGTGAATGTAGGACCACTAACACCTGGCCTCCCACATGTAAGCAAACTAGTTAGGGGAGGAAGCCAAATAGGATCAGCCGGAGAAGGAAGTTCCCGGAAGCCGGCTGTTTGCACAAGAGTAGCAGCGTCATACTGTACTAGAAACGGGGTATTGTGTCTGATTAAGAGTGTGCTCTTCATTCTTAGCAAGTGCCAGTGTTGGTACTAACAGAGAAGAAGTTGTACACTGTGAGACATGCTACATATTTAAGATAAAGGTGGCCATTTAAAAATTAAAACGACATTATTTCTTGACCTGTTGGCTAAGATCAAGTGAAGATCAAAACATGACTCCTATGAGATTAGAGTATGCAGTTGTCTGATTTTTGTAGGATCTTTTAAGAGGGAATTCTGAGTCACTCATTTTATAAAAATGACAAATACTTGTTACAGTGAAGCACATTTTGCAGTTTGACAGTAGGTGTGTGAAAACAAAGTGAGTCTTACTAAACTTTTTAGTGAGTGTGTGGTCTTGCAGTCTGAGAAGATGTACCTGGTTACTACTGGCTTAATTTTTTTCCTTAATGTCTCATCTACAACAGCATTTAAAAGGAAGAAATCTTCTGATAATTCACTGGAAGCTGCAAGAATTAGGTCCAGGCCCCTCCCACTTCCTCTCAGCTTAACTGCTTAATTACTGTACATCAAAAATGTGAAAGGTGTCAGAGCACTTTCCCCAGTAGTTCACTCACTGAACAATATCTTTCAGGAAAGAGCAGAGTCCTTCAGGTATGTCCTGTCATAATTCTAAATTCATGGATGTGCTTAGGGGAAAAACAGTTGTAAAAGCCTCTCTGTGATGTCAGAGATGGTGTCTGGGAGCTGTTGCAGAACAACTGTTTGGTGACCCTTAGACTGCAAACCACACTGTAAATAACAGGTCAGGACCAGTATCTTCAATTAGTAAGCATCCAAGGGTGCCCACTTGAGGCTTGGAGGAGGCTGTGGAAGGTAATCTCCGAGTAACTTCTCTGTGGATCTCTGGGGAAAGGATGGTGGGAAATCATTTGGCCTTTAAGATGAACTGAGCCTGGCTAGTTGTCAGGGCAGAAATAACGGAACCTGGTTACGCACTGTCATAGGCTGAACGTGGCTCCCTCAGGTGTGTGTTCTGATGCACTGACATCTGGTGCCTGGAGGGCAACTGTGCCTCTGAAGAGTGAGCAGTCTGCCTAGTGGGCACCAGAGAAGCACCAGGGGCCACAGGCATAGGAGGACACAGCCAGGGCAGCCATCTACAAGCCCAGGAGAGATGATCGAAGGAAGCAGTGCAGCCTGCAAGCCTTGATCAGCCTTGTGCCTCCCAGCTGTGGGGAAATGAACTGTGTTGTGCATGCCAGCTAGTCTGGTAGGAATTAAGCGGACCTTAGCCCCTGCTGTTGCTAACACTGTCATAGGAGTGGAAGTACTAATCCTAGATTTCCCTGTGGAGTAATTGCATTAGCCTTGTGCTGAGATGTCTTCAAAGGGTAGTCTGTCATTGTCTTGTCTTTGTTTGTTTGTTTGTTTTTTGGTTTTTTGTACCAGGGATTGAGCTCACGACCTTGCACTTGCCAGGCAGGCACTTATGCCTCTGAGCTAAATCCCCAGCCCATGTCCTGTCTCTTTGAGAGTATTTTTTGCTAAGGCTTGCATTGTGTTATTTTTGACGTGCTGGGGACTCACCGCAGAGCCTTGTACACAAGCTGCACCTCCAGGCTTGTGGCTTTCCTAGAAGCTTCGCTTAAAAGGCTTCTTTATACTTACTGCCTAGTGATAGGATATCAGAATGTAATCGTTGTTTTAAATAAATTTTCAGTAAAAATGTAGAGGTTTTATAGTTTACAGATATTTCTAAGTAGAATAAATTCTGCGGTTTTAAATTCGTAATACAAGAGCATCTGCTATATGAAGCTTCTGCACTGAGCTCTGTGAAAGGTCCTAAGATAAAACATGGACTAACCTGTGGTATAGCAGAGAGGGAGTTTATACAAGCCAATAAATATGATAGGAAGCAGAGAGTGAGGTGCAGCTCTAAGCATACTTACACTGGCAAAAGCAAAGCTGTTTTCTTTTTTGAAGCGCTCTCCAGTTGCATGTTTTTTAAGCCTGACAGCATCCTGGCAGGGTAGGAGGGCAGATATTGTCACTCTGTGCCATGCCATCTTGGTGCCCCTCTTCTTCACTACACAGATGAGACCTCCTGTGATCTCACCAAAGGAAACAGATGGGCCTCATTTCCAGCAAGAACCCCCAAGCTGGCAGCCACCGGCAGCATGGGGACTGGAGTGTGATTCAGAGGGGCAGAGGCTGACCAGGTCTCAGGGTGAGGAGGCGCCAGCCGGGCACAGCTGGAGGTGGTCTCACTGCAGGGCTCCTGCAGCCTGCCAGGGGTCCGAAAGTTGGGGACCACACATGCCAGTTTACAGTGTGCGTTGGTGTCTCTCATGCTAAGTGAACGCCTCCCCTCCCGATCCTTTCCTCCGCCCCATGAGTGAAGTGTCACTGCGTTCCTCTGCTCAGCACCAGGCTGTTTCAGCGGCATTTGGCCCCTCACCGTAGGTGGACTGTGCTGTTAGCGCCCTGTCGGCAGCTCTACATTATGTCACTCGGCTTTCTGAAGCACAGTTGTACTGTTTATAATTTTTTTGGCAATAACATCATTTTATTATTCTTGACACTAAGAATACAAATGGAAGTGTCTAGTAATTATTTCCTGTTTCTCATCTCTAATTTTTTTCCATGTCTTCTTGGTCCTCTTTTAAACCAAACTCAGACTCTCAAGCTCAGTTTCCCCTGTAGTCTACTTCACATTGTAGATTTCACCTTTTCCTCTAACCCTTCCCCTGCCCACTCACCACGGTTCTCCTCGGTGCCGCAAGATAACGGCAGCAGAGGACATGGATCTGGGGAAGCTCTCTGGCTTCCACTGCAGCCTGCACGTACTGCAGCCTCCACTGGTTGGTTACTATAGAAACCAGTGACAGTCAAGGAAGCCTTGCTTGGCAGAGCTAGCCAGGTAGACTTTGTGAGATGGAGAAGGTCAAAACCGAGGAAGGACAGCAAGGGAGCTGCTGCAGAGTGACCTGGCCAAGATTTGGTAGAGTTCTGTCTGCTGCTGAGGCTTGGAGCCCAGCGCGCTGTGAGCATCCTCCAGGCAACTGCTGGTGGTTGCATCGTGATGTTTTTTAGAATAACAGCTTTATTGAGATATGATTCACATAACATATGACTCACTTAAGATGTGTCAGTCAGTAGTTTTCAGGAGATTCACAGAAGTGTTCTAAGTTATTCATGTATCACCACAGTTAATTGTGGAGCATTTTCATCATCGCAGAAAGATGCACTCTAGCCTTTTGCCAGCACTCTCAGAGTTGGGTAATCCTAAATTACGCTGTCTCTAGCTCTATCATTATGCGGTCTTGTTTTGAAATTCATTTTAAAAAATCATTCATTTGATTTCTTTATCTGACATTTTATCCACATGAGTATGTTTTGAGTCACTCGCTAGTGAATTATGTGTCACGTTGGAGGAGTCCTGTTGCCTTGGTTGTTTGCTTGGAGGTTTACTTACCTTTCTGTTGGATATCACTTCCACTTTAATGTAAAGGTCTCTTCAGGGATCAGCCTTCTCTTCACAATGTGTCTTGGGACACTGGATTGGTTTGAAGCACTGAATATATTTCCAAATGGACTGCCTAGTGTGTATTCCTTGATATTTCTTCCATAGTGGTCAGTGCATGTCCACAGTGTGAGCATGTGTTGGAGCGTATTATAAGGTCGTATGGAACAAGAAGTTTGCTTGGCTGGCTTAGAGACAATTAGCTGATCTTTGCAAACC